ATGTTTCTAAATATAAATTTAATTTAAATAAACATCGAAATTATAAAATAAATATATAATAATACATCGGTCACGTTTATAATAATATTAAAATTTTTAGAGGATTTAGCCATTTAGTTACGGAGAGCAACTTCTTATCAAAATAATTAGAAACTGTAAAATTTTGACTAGGAAAGCAAATTCTGTTTATGAAGAATTTAAAACCTATTATTTTATTTTCATTGTTGCAAGGTGTATCTCTAGAGCTATATATAACTATGATGTTTAATGTTAACTGAGAATTCTGTTAACACGCTGATTATCGAGTTAATTATAAAAACTGTTTACAGAGAAAAAAGTTGATTTGAATGTGTTGTATTCGTACGGGATTATAATTATTTCTAATCCCAAAGCATCTATACATCATAATCAAATATTCTGTTAGTTTAATAAAACATATGAACTTGATTCAATGTTTTTATTACTGTTAAATGGTATTCTTCGTTTGTTTATTGTTTATCATGATGTAATTCAAATAATGTGCTAGAATAAATATGAACAATCAAAACACTGTTCAATTAAACAGTTTTATTGTCTAAACTTTTAAGACATTTTGTTGACCATCTATTTATCTTAGCGTCTTTTTATTTACACAATTATACAAATATTTCATGAAATCAAAATAACTCTTTTACATTTTATCTAGTCAGAACATTACATCCTTTGAATAGAACTGCACGAGGTTAAACCCATTTTTCTATCGCTTCTTTAGAGCTTGAAGAGGTCCGCCAAGCAAATGACCACTTCCTGAAGATTAGGAAGATGGCTACTTGCAAGACCCCCAGCCCTCAAGTGATTCGGGTGAAAGATTACTTTCCTGATTCTTCCAAGCAGTACGTTCCTCGCTGCACCATACTTCATCGCTGCTCAGACCAGAGTGGCTGTTGTGATGATGAGCAACATAAGTGTGGTCCTCTACGAGTGCAGGAAGTTACCTTGCACTTTTATGTAAGTTATACCTTATCACATCTTGGGTTTACTTCTGACAGTTATTCCTGTTACGTCCTTAAACGATGATAACCTAGGTTTGTCGGACAGTATCTAAGAAATTAGTCCATTATTGTTGTTTCGATTCTTCTCAGTTTTATTTATTGTTGTACTGTGAAAAAAACTGTATTTAACGTTACCTGCTGTTAAAGAATAAAACACAGAACAAACACATGACGTGCATATGATTTGACGTAAAGTTCAAGATGCAATGAGCACATTTTTACTGAACTGTTTAGACGTATTAGCTTTACTTGATTACGAAAATCACTGTGGTATACTACCCGACTTTAACTAACTCTTTGTAATGATATGTGGGTGAAGCTATTAAATCATTTCAATCTATCAGATAAACTCTCTAACCCTCAGAGGGTGGGTGCCTGTAAGGGCCTCAAATAACCCATCTCAGATTTGAGTTGAAAAATTACACAAATTTAGAACAAACACGAGAAATCGCTTGTGATATGTTATAGTTTAATCACGTTATAATAATCAAGATGACAGCGCGCGAAACTATATTTTGATTAAAGGAACTTTTCTCTGTTACTTATAGAAAATGTTAATCCAATGATATCCAAGTGCTGAGCAATTTACACGAAACTAAGGTTTGTTCAAAATTAATAATATATTGATGCACGGGAAACATATATCAACATTTATCCGGTCTTATTAGCTCATATATAGAAGTGTGATGACTTAAGCTTCTCTCTCTATTCCAGGTCTACCATGACCTAATGGTTAGGACACTCGACTCGCAATCTTAGGATCGCATGTTCAAATTTCGTCCCTGAACACGCTCACCCTTTGAGCCATTGGGACGTTATAATGTGACGGTCAATCCCACTAAGAGCTGGCGATGAATGGTGTTGACTAGTTGCCTTCCATCTAGTCTATCACTTCAAAATTAGGGACGGCTAACGCAGATGGCCCTCAATTAGCTTTGCACGAATTTCAAAAAACGAACAAACAAACCCCCTATTCCTATCAATTTACTGCGTTTTAATTTAATTATCTGCATAAAACGTGTCAGCAGAATCCCAGTTCTAATATACAAAATCGATTACATGCTGTTCGAAGGTGTTGGAGGTTACGTATAAGTAAATACTTGGAAACAGCACACTAATAGGCCTTTGTCGTTTATGGCATATTGAAGATTACTCATAGTCATTACGAAACATTTCATTATATTTCACAACCTTTCTTTAGAGAAATTTAGCGTTGGATAATTTTTCAGCCACCTAGTAATAAAAATAAGTAAATTGCACAAAGAATTTTTGTACATACTTTTTAAATTTTGTATTCGAAATATTTTAGAAATTATATCGAAAATAATGGAGAATTGGTAAGCTATGGTGTTTGTATATATACAATTCACTGTTTATTTACTTTCTTTAAAAGGTTTGTTATTCTGTAGAATTAATTTCTAAAAAAGAAAAATATGGAAAAGAGCTGATTGAATCTGTTGAATCAGTGAAAAACATAGATAATAAAAGTAAAAAACCGGTTCATTTAAACATGATAAATTTTCGACGAAGAAGAAAAACAAAATACTATTTTGAATCCCACCCTCTCGTAAGGTGTTCAACAATAAAATGAAGCTCAACAGAGTAACAGGAACTTGAGGCAGCTCACACAAATGTTTTCGAACTGGTTTTATCTACTAAACTCCGAGATAATGACTGAATATAAAATTAATGATTAAAGTTGTAAAAGCAATAAAAGAATGCGAGTAACTTATACCGACGGGACTATGTTTTCATTTTTTTACACCAAGGTGATCCATTGATTTGTGATATTATCTTTTATAATTCGTTAATAAATCAAACCAACCTTGTATCATACGTTTGGCACATACGCTTATATGATTAAAGCACACGTTACAATCCACGAGTTTTGTTAGTTTGGTTTTTCTTTTCTTTACTGGGGTCAGGAATGGGAGTTTTGGTCGCCAGAGACGTGAGTAGAATGTGGTACATATGAAAGATTAATCAACCCTGTGAGTCCACAGATCGGTTATTCTTTCCTCATTATTAATACCAGGTTTGTTTTACACACACGCACATATTTATATATACATGTATATATAAAACATAAAGATACATTCTAGAAACGCTATTGCAATAAGTTGCTGGATTTTTTTCTGTGTGAAAAAGTGAAAGGTGATCAAGAGTTTGTAATATTTGAACTCATCATTAGATATGGTTCTATAGTTTTATCTTAGTGTTTCTATTACCTTCAATTGGCTTATTCGTTTTTCTTATTCTTTTTCTTATTCGCAAAGTTGCACAGTGGGCTATCTACGCTTTGTCTACTGCAAGGGCCGAACCCTGAATTATAGTGTTATAAGCACTCAAAATAAGCCATTCGAGAGCATTTTTAATTGGAGCCATTTATCTATTCTTACAACTTCACTTTCAAGACCTCTGGTGAAAACTGAATAAAAATGTCATCAATACTTTAGTTTTATTACATAAAAAACGCTCAAAATCATCTTTTATTGTATTTTGTGTACATTACATCAGGCTTCATGAATACCAATTTCAGTATGGTTGTTATTTACGCAGGCTTTTTTTTTTCATTACTATTTGGTCATTTGCTGTAGGACAACTATATTTCCTCGAATTTGCCACTAGAATTCGTTGAAGCAAAAATGTACATGTATTCGTATGACAAACGTATCGGCTCATCATCATCATCATCGCTCTTGGCTTTCTGCCAAAAGGGTAGGGGGTACAAAGACACTTAATAAATCTGCGGAAATAGAATCAGTACAACAATGGTGTATAAACATCTGTCAACATCTGAAAGATTTTCGAAAAGAGGAATACTTTTTTTTCCGTTTTGTAATAACACTGTTTAACAATACAGTTCCACTCTTATCCATTGGTTGTATTAAAAATGCAAGCAGCAATTAAATCTGTCGTGAAATGGGTATGAGTTTACAGACACCACTTGTTTGTATATTAAAGATACTACCTAATATATCTGTCGGAAAAAAAGTTGTGGTTGGATCTTTTTTCTTTCCTTTTTTTACCAAATGTAATTCAAGCTTTAATTGCTATTCACAGCTAGGAGTACCTAAAGCAGCGGCACGATGTAATTACATGCAAAATGCCTTCGAAATGGGGGAGGGGAATATCAATGAAACATATATTTCGAACGCATTCCTCAAATGGTAAATAACCATCTTTATCGAATTTAAAATTTATAAATTCAATAAATAATTGAGTGTTTTAAAATGTTAAGGGGTTGAATGATGTCGATGTTAAAATAGCCTGTAGATTTTTTTCAAATCTCTTTAGTCTACGAGTTTAACTTACATATTATTCAGTAAATAAAAAGCATCTATCATATATTGCACAGAATAACATGTTTTAAATGTTGTGAAATATAATTCCTTTTTACATTATGAGGTACAAAACTGTCATAAAACGGCAAAACATTATATGAACATTGAAATTACCTACTTTTATGTAATATGTTTAAATTTACAGATCTTTTATAAATGTAACACTGAGACTTAAATACTGGGTAGTGTTATATATATAATTCTCTTAATTGAGCATATGAGGGTTTTTTATTTTTAGAAAGCAACGTTTTAATTCTTTTATTAGTACAAGAATTAGATACTTCCATATACTTTTCTGTAATTTCTGAAGAAAAAAAAATGATACTTGAAGAACAAGATAATACATTTAAGCTTTATAAGTTTATAAACAATACCACATGGCCGGTAGTCTTTCTATTCTGTTGTTGAGTGCGTTTATTTGAGAGACCAGAATGAAATGACTCGTTGATTTATTTACAGTCTGTGTTAATAGTAATCGTAAAGGTAGTGAATGATTGATGGTAGACTGGCTGAAAGGTTCAGCTCTCCACTTATCTAGATAATCATGTTTTGATTTACAACTAGCTAGAGTCTAAAGCTTTTTCATCTGCAACTTTTGAAAATCTTACTTAACACACCCTATCTAAGTATTCATGTTGATTTTTTTTATATAGAATTGGCATCTCTATTGGAACTTAAAAATAATTTTTACTAACGTGATTGATCACTTACACTGCCATACACTAGTTTACAAAAAGTAAAACGTCATAAGCTTTGAAAAGCATTATAGACAGAAAAATGAGGCTTTGTTTAAGATGTTTTGCTATTGCTGAACTAACTATTGACGTGATTGTTAATGTATTGTTAAAAGCTCTAAACTACTCGTTGTAATTATATGTATGCAAAACGTTCTAGTAATTTAGTCGAATATTCACAGTTAAAACTCCACTGTTGCTTATGAACTTATTCAATTTACTCTAAAGAAGGTTTTTCAAATGTTAAGTTATGGTTTGTTCGTCAGTTAAAGGCTTTTACTTATACTGCTTAATATTGTGTTGTTGTTTGGCTTAGGATTCTTCTACAGTAGGTTTCTGTGACTTGTTGGCGATAAATTCAACGATAAATGAACAACATAGTAGCGTAGTGTGTTGCACAAACAACTTCTTGAAATGTACAGACTGGGCTTAAGTATTTGTAAAGACATATTGCCTATTTAAATATCAGTGGTAAAAACGATTTTAAAGGATATTTTGGGTTTAATATTAAGGATCTGTAAAGTATTTAGGCATTACAAATGTCTTGTTAGCAGTGAATGGTAAAACGATTTTTATTTTTTTAGATTAACTTTGGTTTCAAATTTAGGATCAAAATATTTTTCACGTTACAAAAGTGTATTTTTCTGTATGATGCTAATGATTTTAAAGTCCTACATAAAAAATCTCCAATCACACTACTCCTGTAAAGTGTACTATTCATCACACACTACCCCTGTACGGTGCATCACTTGTTACTCTTTAAAAACAAATTCTAAAAATAATTGCGATTGCAAATATTTTGTTTGAAACAGTTGGCAACATTGACAGATCAAGTACGACACGCTGCGAAATCGTGTTGTTCTTTGCAATAATTGCAAGTTGAAAGGTAGTGAAGAGGTGCCCTCAGTGGCACAGCGGTATGTCTGCGGACTTACAACGCTAGAAACCATGTTTCGATACCCGTGGTGGGCAGAGCACAGATAGCCCATTTGTGTAGCTTTGTGCATAACTACAAACAAACAAACAAAAGCGAATAGGTTATGTTGTGTACATGTAATGTGCTGAGGAAACGGACGATATTGAAAACATGCTTAGGCCTAATTCTCCCGGTGGCTATTACAGTGATGTAGACCTAGGCTTAGAAAGTGCTGAGAATAAGTCTAAATGTAATTTTAAAAAGGAAAAAAAAACAACATCAAAAAACCAATAGACTGAGAAAAATAATAAGCGGAGTGACATTGACAAAAGTGAATTCACATCAATCCTAAATTAGGATAATATTGACAGTGATAGGTTTAGACCAGAACTGAACACTCAGAAGGTTACGACCACAATGGTTAATGATAGATGATACTAATAACTTATTTTTACTAGTTCTACTGATTTACTTATTTATTTAATAACAAGTACTTATCTGATAAAGCTGATTTTTCCGGGGTTTTAAATGCAGACAACAAGCTTTTTTTTTTATAAGTCAGAGTCCATTCCAACCCCCAGGCCCATTTCCATATGTTATAGATGGTCCCAATAAAGGAAGAAGTTTCAATGCTTGTTGTTTCTATGAGAATATTTCTAAAGCTGGTATAAGTTACGAAGTACCTTGTTATGTTTTTCAATGACTATAAATAAATTTTACTGTGAGCGCTGGTGGTTTTTTGGAAACAAGAAAAACTGACCTATCTTGAAGTTTAAGTACTTTTTTCATATTGGAAGCACTTGGGTAGAAGTACAGAGAGACATGAACTGTCAGCACAGTGGCGTAACAACAAAAGATGCCCTCTCCCCCACATAAAAAGTACTTTGGTCCCTCACATATAATTGCCTATAATTGTAGTTACGATTTTTGCTGTTTCGGGCTTCCTTTGGGCTCCACCCCCACCCCCACCCCCGCAATTGCGGGGATATAGTCACTCTACAGTGTCAGCATATCATATAGAATAGTGTATAGTGTATTAACAGTAGTAAGTACATGGAGTATTAGATAAAGCCCTGGAGATTAAAATGTAGCAGGAAGTAGACCATGTTATTAATGCAACTTTGACTCTTGCTATTTCAAATTTGGCTTTCAGGGATCATTTGGAAGAAACAGGCCAAGCTGGCTGTGGGAATTGTCTTTCAATTGTTGAACTCCCGAGTAAATATGATACTGTGTTGGAAGAATTGCTAAGGAAGCTTAAAGGAGCTCTACAATACAAAATTCAGTTACTGAAATGCTGGCACATCAGTTCAGGAAGACATAATTGATAATGTACGAAGTTTGCTGTTTTATTCATTAATTATTGATACCACCAAGATACATCCAAAAAAAAAAGATTATTTGCAAACTGTAAAATATATGTAACAATAAACTGGCCTAGTGATGGTGATAAACCAACTGAAATTAAAAGTACATATGTCGTATCTAGGACTTGAAGAAACATGCAATCAAATTTCATCAGAACTTTAAAATCTAACTTTTCATTTCCTGGACTAAAAAGGTTTTGATCTAAAAAGGCATTGTGGGCAAGAGTACGATGCTGTTGCGAATACGGCTAGTGTGTATTCATGTGTCTAGGAAAGAATACTAGGGCGAGTACCATGTGTTAACTACGTACAGTGTGCAGCACAGAATCTAAACATAATGCTGAATGACTGTTCAGTCTGTGTCGGAAATCGAAAACTTTAATAATTTGCTTTAGAAACTCTACGTGTTTTATTGGATACTGTATTAGAAGGTGGATTCTATTGTAGCCACTAATGGAATTTAATCCTGTCACAAAATTAAATAAATTATGTCCTACCCAATGGTCTTCATGCCATGATTATTTGGTAGCTTTTGCGTTATAGATTTACATATGTGCTAAACATTCTATCAAAAATTGTAAATAGAAGTGAAAAATCTGGTGAATTTAATGAAGCCATTTCTTCACTAAATCATCTACAGTCGTGTTATGTTTCTTATCGTAATTGAAACAACACTATTACTGTGTGTTGATGTTGTATCTGAACTGCTCCAGTCAAATAGAAAGGATCTGAGCAAAAAAATGAAGCAAATACGATGAACTAATGGAAACGACAACAAAAATGGCCACATCATGGGGAAACTTTCAAGCCAAACGAGTGCTTTAAGTAAAACGACAGTTTGAAGAGTTGACTAGCGACCGAGTGATACTGAGAATGGATTTAAAGCTGATGTTTAATTCCAAACTTTGGTCATAATACCAACATAGCTAAATAATAACTTTAAATGACCTACAGAAATGGTTAATGCTTTCCGTTCCATACAAGCAGAATCATTAAGTGCTTTAACAGACAATGGACTTTACAGTGCTGAAGAATCCCTAACAGAGACTTGCAAAACGGTAAGTCTCTGTCTGCAACACTGTTAAGACAATTATTATGTTTAAGAACATCTTTGAAACCTAAACTTCAAAATTAAACTCTGTGAAAGAACGTTACTTATGGTAGACAATCATGTACTTGCTACAGCATTTTCAAAGGGCTAACTTTGTTAACTGTCCCTAATTTTGAATTGATAGACTATAGGGAAGGCAGTTAGTCAACGCTATCTTTCTCAAACCCTTGGGTAACTCTAACTAAATAGTGGGATTTGGCCATCACTATTATAACACATCCACAACCCCCAAAGTGCGGAGCACGTAAAAAAATACTGTGCTATAATTTTTAGACTTATTTTATCAGACAGTAACAAACAGCAACAACAAAACAAACGTTGACTCAAAACATTAAAAATTGTGGTAACAATGAATAAAAATAGTGGCAACAATGAATATTTCTGGTTCAGTTCCAACTTTGAACAAAGACGTGACAGACTTTTCTTATGGTGCAAAATTCCATATTGCATTGCCAATGAATTTTAAAACCTGCTAACAACGGCACAGTCAGTGATTAAACTCTTCATCAATGAACTTTCGTCTGTGTCAGGTATACTGTATATAGGGGTAATTCGTAACAAGTAATACACTATATATGGAGCCCGAGCATAGTGATTTAGCGTGCCGGACTCTGGATCAAAGGTTCCGTGGTTCGTACTTAGTTACCGCTAAAATAACAATAATAATAAATTTTTTTCTCCCATAGACTCTACATCTTAAAAATCGTGACCTGCAGATAGGCATTGAGAACGCCGTAGAAAAACTCTTATTTATTAACCACACCGAATGCGAATGTCAACCAATAAACAATCAACCCCGACTAAAGGAAGATCATCGATTTGCATCAAATAACAGTCACGAACGAAAACTCTCTGATGTGCAAAGTTCAAAGTAAGTTAAATCGTTTTGTTGCCTTTTTTTGTTTCTTTGTTTCACTCGTAGCTTTGAGTTATTTATAAAAGCTTTTCCAATTTTTCCATCAATCTAATTAATATAATGCATAAGCATCATTCCAATTTTTATGTTACTGTATTAAAAAAAGGTTTTCTAGATAGCAAGCAAAAAAGACGACAAGGGCTTGTGGTAAATAACATATATCGAAAAGAAAGAAAACGTAACTAGTTAGATATGGTGTTTGCCGTCAAGGCTAAGTATAACTGACATCATTACTTAATGGTGTCGTGAATACTGTCTGTGCAATTTCAAGCGTCAGATACTAAATATGTGGAGCGTTAGCTGGTAACTAGTGAAAAGTAGGACACTGAGCTATTTACTTGAAAAAAAGGGCTTCATAAGTTTTCATTAAAAGAATTAACTGTAAAAGTCTCAACTTGAAAATATTATTTCAATAGGTTATTACCGTTGTTATAAGAAAATATGGTAAACCTAAGAACCTGTAGGTGGAAATTAGTTGGTTAAACTTTGGCATAACAAATGTTTTCATCGACCTTTTTTAATACAAAAAGTTTAAAACATATTTACGTATGTTTACTACATTTTAAAAAATTAAGTCTCGTATGACTTGAGAATTTTAAGTTAACCTTGTAGCTCCGTTTAGTGAGGCATTCACTCAACTTCTTATACAGTTTGAAATTGGATATAATTTTTACTAAAGAGAAGCCTCACAGTGGCACTGTGGTATGTCTGCGGACTTGCAACGCTAGAATCCGGGTTTCGATACCCGTGGTGGGCAGAGCACAGATAGCCCATTGTGTAGCTTTGTGCTTAATTACAAACAAACTAAAGAGAAAATATTCAACAGCTTCATAAATATTTTTGTTCTAATTTAAAACTAACAATGTAAAACATTACAACACCTTTCTCACACGTCTTAGATTATGCTTTTCCTGTTTTCTATTTATTTATTTGTTCACAATGATGGAAAAGTTTACATTCAGTATAAATTACTGTTAAAACTGAAAATTGCAATATTTATTGAAACCTAAAAATATGTAGGATATTATAAACGAACTTATTTCACATCTGAATAACGCATACGAAAAATATTGTTATAATAAAAGCAAAAAAAAAATGGCATTTATTTATGGTTTGTTAATATAGCAAATATTGCAAAACATTTTTTCCGTCCATACTGCTTAAAAGTTGTGTTTTTTACATAATATACTGAGAAACTGATGAGACGATAAGATATGCAAGATTATTTTATATTACTCTTTTTCTCGGACTTGTTCTTCAATAAACTAATAGGACCAATATAGACAGTCTAGTCTTTCAAAACCACCTTTTTGAAGTAGAATATTTTAATGTTTAAAAATCTTAGAATATATTCATATGCTCTCGAACTGTTTGAGATAACGCGCGAGAAAATGCAGGAAAATTCTTTCTAACTTTGAGAGTTTCTGACGGTGTGGATGATATCGCATAAGTCTGTTTGACTATATAATTGACGAATGCTTGTCTTGCTTACATTTTTCGTATGGTTTGTTGAATTGTTTTTGAAATTTACGCAAAATTCTTGAGGGACATCTAGCCGTCCCTAATTTTTAATTGATAGACTATAGGAAAGGCAGCTAATCAACACCACCCACCACCAACTCTTCGGCTACTGTTCTCGAATGGTGGGATTTGACACTCTTATAACGCACCCGCGGCGGCACGAAAGTGCGGATCACGATTTTTTTTTTCATTTATAATGGGGCGCAAACCTAGGATCCACAGTTTGGCATGCTAACTACTGGGCTCGGGCAACTCATTTGGTAAATATTTACTTCTTTTTCTTTGTTTCTACTGCGAATGAAAATACTGCTTATTTAAATGTTCAGCTTCATTTTATACACTGTTGTAAAAGTAGGGCTGGGTATTATTTTTCTATTTTTTGCAAACATCGCACGTACTTTTTAAAGGCAGAAATCAGCATCGTATTAGCGACCAAAGCACATTTTACTTTAACTTTTTAGTTATTTTGAAACGTATTTTTGGTTTTCATGTTGAGTGAAAACCGTCGTTTAGTTAAATGATAAAATAAAGTACTTGTTTGCAACGCCTTTGCTGTGTTTGTAGTTATCAAGTATTTCTTGTATTTAGGGTTAAAACTAGTTCTTGCGTGCTATCAAACGTTCTTAGTTTTATAATAGAAAAAATAAAGTACTCTTGCACTCCAAGATTGACGACTTATAAAGAGGTGCGTCCTTTAGTTATATTTGAGAATGTTTAAATGATGTCAGTAAAGGACAAGAACAGCAAATTCTTTCCAATTAACATGAGCATTGCAAGGTGGCGCCTTTTACGTGTACTTCACTATCTTGTGAAAATATAATTAAACGTGTGACGTAACTGTACTATTGCGTATGACTGTACTTCCCCTCTAAACTTTCATTACACTCTTAAATAAGTTAAATTCGACGTGCATAACGCCCAGACAACTAGTTATTTCAGGTTGTCTATTTGTGTTAAGAGCATCATATCAAGGTTATTTTTGTAAGGAACAGTTAGAATAGGTGTGTAGGTGGCGCTACACTGATCCTTAAATTGTCACGATTTTGTTTGTTTGTTTGAAGTTAAGCACAAAGCTACACAATGGGCTAAGTGCTCTGCCCACCACAGGTATCGAATCATAGTTTCTAGCGTTGGAAATCCGCAAACATACCGCTGTGCCATTGGGGGGGGGGGCAACTTATCAGGAAGAAAGAGTTTCAGTTTGTTCGTCTTGGTGCAAAGCTACACAATGAGCTATCTGTGCCGTACCCACCGCAGGGATCGAACACCGAATTTAAACGTCGTAAGCTTTCAAGGTTACACACACACACATATATTGACGCAAAATAAAAAGTTAGAGATCATAATGTACAAGTGACAGCGAAAGCTTTATATGAAAGAAGATATAAAACCGGTACAAACCGGTACTACTTTATCCTGAAAATGAATAACAATTAGAAAGTGCGTGGCGAGTATTAATGACGCATATATACCTAAAGTACTCAGGTTAATGCCTAATATCACTACCACTAATAATTTATTCTCCTCTTCTACTTTACTTCTAGTATAATGGCCATGTGGCAATCTGTGTGACTTTCTACATAGCAGTTTTGTCATCACAACCCCTGGCTTCGAGATTATGTTGAACAAGCCAGGTTAATTTCTTCAGCAAGTATGATACAAACCCATTCCCCCAAAAAACATCAAGTAGTATGCAAAACATCCTCGGGGTTGAGCGAGGGTGTATAGTTTGTCTACTAGTAATTTTATACTATAAATATAAAAACCTTATCTGTTAATGTTTAAGTTTAAAAATTTCAAGGCAAAAAATGTATAAGAGAAGATCATATATTAGAAAAATAGTCAGCGTAATTTCAATCTATTTGAAGTATAATTTTTCAACTCATTGTTTTGTCGCAAAATACACTTACGATGCCTAATAACCTGAATAATCCAGTTATTATGTTATATATTTCTCCGTTTGCTTCATTAATGCCTGAATGCATAGTACCTTAAAATTCATCAAACCGGAAACATTAGGTGTCACTATGAATTGTAAGTAGATTTCGCCCTAAAATATTGTTTGTTTGTTAGTAATTAAGCACAAAGCTACACAATGGACTATCTGTGCTCTGCCCACTGCGGGTATCGAAACCCGGATTCTAGCGTTGTACGTCTGCAGACATACCGCTGTGCCAATGTGGTGCCCCTAAAATTTTTAACGATAGATTAATTGGAGCATGTAACGCTAAAATAAATGTCTACAATGTACAAAAGGACTTTAAAATAATTTTTGAACGTTTTTATCCCTTCAACGACCTGTTACTCCATTAGGTAAATAAACATCCGGAAGAAAGAAAAGTCCGGAGGTGTGAATCAGGCCGCATAACAAATATTTGATAACAACGAGTTCAGACCTTATCCTAGCAATTGGAGAGCGGCGGAACTGGTCGTCAAGAAATTGATGTCGATTGTTTGTTTTTTTGTTGTTTTTTGGTTTTTTAGATGAAAAAACCCGAACAACTTATACATCAAAACAAAACATTTATTAAATGAAATAATCTCCATTCTTTTCAATGATGCTTTTCCATCTTAAAATCATGTTGTTAATGCCCTTGTTAAAGAAATCACTTGACCTTGAATCAAAAAACATGTCGATGTCCTCTTTAACACCTTCCACATTTGCTTACGTTTTTCCATTAACATGATGTTGCAGCGAACGAAAAAGATGTTAATCTGATGGTGCCATATCTGGAGAATATGGGGGGGGGGGAGAACTTTTCAACCCAACTCCATAATCTTATGTTGCGTCAAACGTGCCACATGTGGATGTGCATTGTCGTGGAGAAGAACACCTTTCCGATTGACGAGTGAAGGGCTTGATTTAAACGTTCAAGTTGTTGACTATAGATTTATGCATTGACAGTTCGCTGTGGACTGAGGAATTCGAAATGAATTACCCCTTTGATGTCCCACCAAATGCAAAGCATCAATTTCTGCGGATGAAATCCAGGTTTTGGGGTCGGAAGTGGTTATTGTCTAGGACTGAGACGCCAGAAGAGACGATGCAACGTTCACATGTTTTAAACGATGGTCATCGGAGAGTTCGTGAGGCACCCAAACACCTTTTTATGGAGTTTTCCC